GTCAGTTCCTGAGATCTTCACCTAGTCATAGAAACAGCAGTAATCCTCAGGAAGTGAGAAGTTCTCCCGACTGAGCTAGCCATGGCCTAAACTGAACACTCCCACAAAGGAGGGATAGTCCTCATTTCCTTGAGGACTCAAGTGTAGTTAGAAAAAGGAGAAACCAAAACAAATATTACATGCTTCATTTTTTAAAATATCTCCTCTACCCCTTTCTTATATGACAAACTTGAAGCTTCTTAGGTCTGTTCTTTAGATGCTAGCTAACGGAATCTGAGTACTTGGCCTTGAGAATACTTAGAAAACGGGAATAGGTTCCAACTTCTCTACAGCTGTAAAAAAAGCAGACACCAAGCTGCATCGTAAAGTTATTTCTGACAGCAGTGAATTAACAAGGCTCATGAAACATCAGTATGAATTTCCTTTGCAAGGTGGAGACTTCCAATACAAAGCATAACCGTTCTGTTTTCTGTTTAACAGTCATTTAAAACACCTGAATGAGTGTTCCTACTTATTTAAGATGTATGCCTGAATCCCCACAAGACTGCAATTTGATTTGCTGTCTTTATAATCTGTATAATTTTATTAAAAACTTCTGTTTATCAAATCTTATTACTATATTACACCAGAATAGGAGTTCTGGCACTTTCTTCTTCTCCCTCCATGCCTGAAGGCTAATAAAACCCTTGACTCCCTAGAAATTCCTTATTCAAACAAAAGGTGTGAAAGTCTTCTTCTCATTTAAATTAATGTAGGCTAATGGGATAGGTGAGGCTAGTCACAGAGGATGGAGGAAGCAGATTCAGTAAGGCCCAGCTATGGGAGTGAGGACAGGCTATAGGGAGAAACTGAAGGAATAAAATCCTAGGGAGACATATGAGTTCCAGTCCCAGTCTACTACTAACTTGGGAGGGGACTTTTCTCTCTTTAGGATGGGCCTTAATTTCTTCAACTGTAAATAAAAAGAATAAAAATAGCTTCCTTTCTGATCTTACTACTATAATCTATACCCACTGGAGTATGAGTATACATGTAGTTCCAGTTACACAGCTCTGGTTATAACAAGAAGCTTTTGTTTTTGTTTTTGGTTCGAATAATATCTATTCTTCTTTTATACCACGTTTTATAGAGATAAGCATAACTGAAGATTTTAACCACAGGCCCTTTTGGGCCGTTTTGTTGTTGGGGTGAAGGTGGAGTGGGGCTGTCAGATAGTTACCAGTGTTTTCCATAGAGCCAATGGCCTCCCCATGTCAGCAGGCAGAGCCCAGCTGTAGTCTTCTTCCAGTGATTTCGAAGCGTTTTAAAAAACACAGTCATCTTCTCCTAGAGGTTTGCTAGGTTAGTAGAGATAGAAAAAGAAAAAAGAAAAATACAATTTATCCAAAGTACTCGCGTAGCATCGCAATTACTCTATCTTCCATTCTTTTACCTTCTCATTCCTTTTTTCCTTCCCTCACTCGTTTTCCCCCTCACCACTTCTCCAGCCTCAGCTCATCTTCTTCCATTTTCATCACCTTCATCTTCTTACCCACCTAGTCACCTTTATTTTTTCCTTCCTTCACATCTTTCCACCTAAACTATACATCTTCCTTCTCTGATCACTTTTTCCTCATTGTATTAGAAGGGAATTTCAGCTTCCTGATTTTTCTGTCTTCTTACAGCCTCACTGCACCCCTGTAATAATAAACATTTGTCTGTCCATGATAATATAAGGGACCCAACAACACATTAATAATGTGTTCAAAATAAAACACCAGGTCCTGAATAGGAAAAAAAGCAGAAAACACACACAGAAAACTCAATGAAGAGGTAATGCATGTGGCTATGTGAAAATGTTCAACCTCCTGAGTAATCAAAGGCATGCAAACTACAAATACCTATCATTATTCACCTACAAAATTAATAAATTTTTAAAATAATCATATTCACTGACATGATAAAATGAGGTAGATACTATCATACATTCCTTTAAAGAAGGTAAATTAGCAGGAATTTACTAAAAAACAAAGTCATAATATAGAATATTCTTATTCTTCATAGCACTTAACATTTGATGATACTTATATTTATTTGCTAGTTTGTTTATTAGCTATAGAATATTCTTATTCTTCATAGCACTTAACATTTGATGATACTTATATTTATTTGCTAGTTTGTTTATTAGCTTATCCCACTAGAACGTAAACTCCATAAGAGTAAGAACTTTGTTCTGGACCTGCTATATCCCATGCCTAAAGTAAGATCTGGAGCCTAAC